AAAAACCGAGGAACAGAAAGGCGGTGACCGGTTCCCCAACCCACGGTCCCAAAGTGGGTGGAGCTGGGAGGTGAACAAGGTCCTGGGGCACCCCGTTTTCTTGACCGTGGCACGCACGGTCTCTACGCCCCCAGGCAGGTGAAAGCACTCAACAAACACCAGCCACAGGCCCACGCTCCCTTACCCACGATTCCAACATCTCGAGAGCTCTAAAAATAGAACTTTTTTCATCAGGATGCCTCTAAAACTCATGGAGAGTCAAGCCCCGGCTCCCTGGGGTCAGAGGAGGGTTCCAGGGGCCTCGCGGGGCAGGCGGGAAAGCCAACATGGCCCTCTGTGTTCTCGCCCCTCCCAGGATGGTGTTCGTCCCTGCAGGACAGATTGCAGGCCCTTGAAGCACCGCAGGGCCTTTGCACAAACTGTGCTTTCTGTTGGAATGCCCTCTCCTTCTCCCTCGCTACCCCTTTCTCATCCTTTGGGGCTTGGTTCAGGCATCATGTCCTCCAGGAAGCTTTCCCTCATGCTCCCTGGGCCCTGCGGCTCAGATAATTAATAACCTTCAGCTATTAATAAGCTTTATTTATCCCATTTATTGCAAATATTCCTGTTACATTACTACTGTGTTTGACTGCGAGGGGGAAAGGGCTCCCCCAGGCCCTGCTGGGGGTGTCTTATCAGCATTCTAAAATCTGGAACATTCTGAATCCCAAAACTCATCGACCCCAAGGGGTTCGGATAAGCTCTGTTATTATTTATTGTTGTTACCGAGCCGACTGTGTGCCACCAACTCCTCTAGGTGGTGGGGACCGAGCAGCGACAAAGGCAGACCCGGCCCTCATGGGGTTTGCGGTCCAGCGGGGGAACAGGACAGACGCAGTGCTGGGTGGTCACAGCCCCGGGCGATGGGGGACCCCAGGAAGCACCCCTCACTCGGTCCAACCTCGCTCCCCGGCGCATGGCTCGTGGCCGCCTGAGGCTGAGGATTTATCGAGAAAGGCTTCCTCTGCAGAAATCCTGCTTCCGGGCCAGAGAGCTGGGGGCCTCATCTCCCGATGGTCCTCTTACCCTTCCCTTCACATGACAGATCAGCCAATCCCGTCGCCTCTGGATCCACCCCAAATCCACCCACCTCTCCCCACTCCTCTGTCTCCACCCAGTCTGGCCTCATCACCACTGGTCCTGCCTCAGGGCCTTTGCACGTGCTGTTCCCGCCCCCTGAGCGCTTCTTCCCCAAGCCCTAACACCTCCATTTATTTCCTCAGCTTCTACAAATGGATGTCTAGGACGGAAGCCCCGAGGAGGCAGTGACGATGTCTGATGCGGTCACCGATGGGTCCCCGGCTCCTAGCACAGCGCCGGCACCCCAGAGATAATCCATAAAAATTCCTCCCACCGGGGAAGGCAGAACCTCAGCCAACAGCCTTGTCGGGTCCCCGTGTCCGGGATGGGGGTCTCTAGCCGTGGACCCCGAGAGGGATATTAGGGCAAAAAAGAAGAAAAGACCCCAAATTCTGGTCGCCTTTATTTTGTCGACGAGCCTCCCCATCCGGTGTTAGAGAGGACGGTCCCCTTTAGCGGAGCTGACAGCTAATTTGTGGGAAGTTTAATTACGGGCGGCGTTAATTAACTGGCAGAGCGCTGGGCAAGGAAGGCGGCCATCTGTTCCTGCAAACGTCCTCCGCTCCCGGCCCGGCTGGGAGGCTTGGAGGGTTGGGCCCGGAAGAGGACGGGGCGTGGGGAGGAGGCAGCGACAGGGGCGGAAGGAAGGAGGACGAGGGGATGATTCAGGCTTCGCGCCCCCCCTCCCAGATGCCAGCCTCCTCGTGGCTCCCACCGTTTGGCAGTCGCCGCCGGGAGCCGCTAGGAGTGGCAGCCACAGTTCCTTGGCATCTGCTTCTCGCTGGTTGTATCACAAGGAGCAGAGGGTGTGGAGGAGAGGAGGTGAAGAGCGGACAGGCTCCCACCCAAGAAGGGTGGGAGTAGGAGCTGGGACAGAGCCGGGGCGAGTGAACTAAGCAACTGGCCTGGAAGGAGTGGATCCCTCCACCCCTCAGTCCATCAGCCCCCTCTTCCTTCCCACCATTCTCCATGGGGATGCAAACAGCCTCTGAAGACGGGCTTCTGGGATTCGAAACCCGGCTCTGTCTCTTCTGTGCTGTTTGCCCTGGGGCAAGTCGCTTAACCTCTCTGGGCCTCAGTTTCCCTGGCTGGAAAACAGGATTGATTCTAATGGGTCCTGCTTCCACGTGTCCTAGAAGAGTCGAGACCAAGCATGTCCAGGCGGCCGAAGAGAATTTGGTGGTGAACTCGAAGTGTCGTCACCTGTAACTAAAACTGCGCGTGCGTATTAAGGCGGCGGGCATGGGGTGGGGCGTCCTTAAGATTGTGAGGCCTTGTGCCTTCCAGGACTCTGGGTCTTTGCACAGGCTGTTCCCTCCCCCAGAACACCCTTCCCGCTCCTGCCCGATTGCCTGTGTTCTGTTGCTCGGGGTCTTGACCCTCCCTGACCCTCCAGGCTGGGAAAGGAGCATCTACACGGGACCCCAGCTCAGGAGGCGGCTGGAGAAGGGCCCGGGCCTGATTGCTGGGGGACCAAGGAGGCCGGGGTGGAGCTGAGGCCCCTTCTCCGAGCACACAGGCCCCGACTGGGGGCAGGGAGCTCCGTGCGCACTTATTAAGCACCTACTGGAGGCCAGACGAGGCTGCTTGGGGGCTTCACCCGTGCTGTTCCAGCTGCCAGCATCGCTTTTCCTTTCCACGGAGCTGATCTCTGCTCTTTACGCTCTCAGTCTGGAAGCCGCTGCCTCCGGGGATCCTCCCAGATCCTCTGCGTTGGGTCAGGCACCTCCACTTGGGTTAACACAGTTTCCCCAATCTCATAGCTGGGCTATGGGCAGGTCACTTAGTCAATCAACAAACACTGGCAGAGCATGGAGATGGTGTCAGGCGCCGTGCTAGGAACCGTCCGCGCTTAGGGAACTCCATTAGCTGGACGGCCACTAACATCTGTTCTCTCCTTTTTCGTAATGATGGAACCCTTGGTTTTCAGTCGAACCACTGGCCACTCAGAATAAAGACTATATCTCCCAGCATCCTTTTGGGCAAGTGTGACCACGTGACTCAGCTGTGGCCAATGGGGTGTGAGCACAAGTGGGGTTTCTGAGAAGAGGCCTTAAAGAGATAAGACAACCCTTCCTCCTCACTGACTGGAATGCAGATGCGATGGCAGGAGCTCAAGCAGCTGCCTCGTCCCATGAGGAGGAGGCCACTTGCAGGGGATGTGGGGCAATAAAAGAGAAGGAACCGAGGCCACGGACACCATGGAGGCTCCTTTCACCCCTGAACTGACTGTTCCTGTTCATGAGCAGATAAGCCCACCCTTTGCCATCATCAGTCCAAGAAGGGAAACTCATCCTTCAACCACCATGGAGATTCCCGGCTACGTCATGAAGGGCAGACAGCGAAACATGAGTGAAAAACACATCCGTGTGTGTAAACAAGGAAACCTTGGGAAAAAAGCAAGTATTCGCTCGAAAACACACCAAGCCCGGACTGCCAGGTCCGAATCCTGTCATTGACCATCTGCTGTGTGTTCCTGAGCAAGTGACTTGGCCTCTCTGGCCTCAGTTGCCTTGTCTGTAAACTAGAGACCTGGCAGTGCTGCTAAGTGGGATTTTTCTCTGAGCTGTTTGAAACCCTCCAGTGGTTTCACTTGGCACCTCAGAATAAAACCCAAATTCCTTATCAAGCTTGACAAGGCCCCACATGGTCTGCCCCATCCCCTCCCTGCCCTCCCTCCTCCCTCTCTCCCCCTCCTTCCTCTGCTCCAGCCACATGGCCTCCTCGCTCTTCCCCCAACACACCAGGCCCGGGCCTGCCCCAGGGCCTTTGCACGGGCTGTGCCCTCTGCCTGGAATGCTCTTCCTGCATACCCACTCCCTTCTCACGGTTCCTGCCTCAGATCCAGTGTTCGCTCCCTGACCTCCCTGGTCACTCGTGCCACGTGACCCAGCCGCGCCCCCCACCCACCGCCCAGAAGACCCCTCAACGTGGCCCAACCCTGCAGAAGCAGGACGTGCTGGGAGCCGAAGAAGCGCCTCATCTGCTCGCTCTAAAGTGACACCACATCCGAGCTGGTGTCCGAATCCGGCGACAAATTCACAGGAGATGCAGGGGAACCGAGGAACGTGTTAAAGGACCCCCCCGGGGGACACACTCTGCCAAACCCGGACCGGGGACGTCCCAGGGTGAATGACGGATAAACAGCAAGAGACAGACGGGGGAGAAGCCGTGGCTGCAAAGAGAGATCCCGGCGGCCACGGACGGCTCTCCATCTGGATCTGGACTCGAAGGACCGAGGGAAACATGCGCCACAGACAACGCGTGGGGACGGCGCCACGGGGGGGGGGGGGGCGGCCGCTCCGAAGGGATTGTTGTCATTTCGAACGTGATGCTGAGGTCGTGGGGTTTCTAAGAGGTCTCGTCCCGGGTGCTGTGGGGGGCTGAGCAGCATCCCTGGTCCCCACCCGCTCGATGCCAGGAGACCCCCCAGTGTGACAGTCACAGACGTCCCCAGATGCTGCCCTGTGTCCCCCGGGGGCAGCATCCCCACCCCCGTTGAGAATTACAGCTTTAGACACAATCAAAATATTCCCAGATGCAAAAACACGTGGGATTTGCACCAAAATAACAAGGGCTGGGGTGAGTGGCAGGTGGCAGATGCGCGAGCGGCCGCGTGTCCACCGTGTCTAATCCGAGGGACGGGGGCCTGCTGGCGGGTGTCCCCAACTCACCCCCTCCCCTTGGGTGTGTTAGAGATTTTCCACCAGAAAAAGCCAGAATGGGCGGGGGCTGGGGCTCAAATGACCCCTGGAGCTGGGGTCGCCATCACGTACCCCCCGTTGCTGTCTGCGATGTGACGGACGCCCCGTGCTCACGTCAGACGTGACCCGTGCGGGGGAACCCCGGGCAGGGCACATGGGGACCCTCCACACCCGACCTGACGTGATTCCAGAGTAAGAAGTTTATTCGCAAAAAAGTGTGTCGACCAAGCAGCGAACCAGAGACCAGCGGCCCTGGAAGTGGGGACACGGGGACGCCGGCACAGAGCCGCGGTGGCCCTGACGGCACCCTCCCCGCGCCCCGTCTCTCCTCGCTCCCCCGTGGACACCGGCAGCCACCTGGGGCTCAGCTGGGACGGGCCACGCACGGCTGGCACGGGGACGTGCCCCCGACCCCCAGCAGCCAGCGCGAGAATCCGCTTTCAAACCCGCTTTATTCTCCGCCAGCCGGGGGTCAGGGTGCAGGTGGGGGGCGGTCCGTGGGCCTCAGGGGGCACCCGGGGACCCCTCCGAGGATGCCTCAGCCTCCACGGTCCCCAGGGACGTGGCACCGCGGTGGTGACGGGCCGGGCTGGCCTGGGCCAGCAGCTCCAGCCTCCGGGAGCGCAGCCGGGCCTGGATGGCCCAGACGGGGGGCCGGCGGCCGGGCAGCGAGGGGTCCTCGTCCCCGAAGCTGTCGGCGGTGGAGTCGGAGCCGTCCTCCGTGCCGGCCACCGACTGCTTGCACACGGGGCAGGCGCGCCGGGCGCCCCGCGAGAACCAGAGGTCGATGCACTTGCAGTGGTAGGTGTGCGCGCACGGCAGGATCTTCAGCCGGTCGCCCTCCTCGTACTCGTCCAGGCAGACGGCGCACAGGTTGCTGTGCCGCGTGAAGGTGCACACCTGCGCCTTCTGGCACGCCTGGGTCTCGACCGTCCTCTCCGCGTGCCACCGGGCCCACAGCCACCTCCACAGCCGCCGCAGCACGAAGGCGGCCGACGCCAGCAGGGCCAGCGCGCGGCCGAGGACCCAGGACGCGGCCAGCAAGGGATGGCAGTCCGGCTCCGGGCACGGCAGGTAGTCGGGCAGCAGGAGGACGTGCGCCAGCTTGTCGCAGCGCACCAGGACCCGCAGGTCCTGCGAGGCGGCCTCGCCCACGAACACCGACGGGATGGTGATACGATGCCGCACGTCCTCGTAGACGTGGGCCATGAGCACCAGCTCGTCCGAATGCACGTTGTGCACGATGGCCGCCTCGAAGCCGGCGCGCTGGGCGTGCAACACCTTGAGGTCGAAGGTGCAATCGTAGCGGCGGATCAGCACGATGGCGCCCAAGGAGCCGTTGCCCGGCCGCGGGGGCCCCTCGATGGGGTGGCACGCGTTGGCCGGCTTGGCCTCCATCAGGTAGCCACGCACGCCCTGGGGGGCCAGGGGCGCCCCGAACAGGGCCTGCGAGCCCGCGAAGTCCACCGCGCTCCCGTTGCCGGTCAGCACGACGCGCACCACAGCCCTCGAGGGTGCCAGCAGGGCACACAGGATCAGAGACACCTGTACAGCCCCCCGGGCCAGCGCCCGCCCCATGGTCGCCTCCTGCGGCCGCCGTGTGGAGTTAGGTCCCGCTGGGGACAGCAGACGGGGGGGCCTGTGGGCATCTCCGGGGCCTCCCCGGGGGGCCCGTGCCCGGGGTGGGGCAGGGGTGTGGTCTCGAACAGGGGGCACCGAGGCCGTCACCCAGAGCGGCGGGGACCCGGGCGGCTAGGCGGAAACGGGGCCCCGGGGCAGCGCGCTCTGCATCGTGTCGCGGGAGGAGCTGCCCTGCCCGGGCGGCTGTGCTGGCAGAGGACACTGAGGCCAGGAGGCCCCAGGGTTCTAGAGGCCACCGGCCTCTGTGACATCGTCCTGTTGTGTAGCTTGTCCCCCAGGAGCCCCCTGTTGCCTGGGCCTGGGGCCGGGACAGAATTCCTGGGTCTCTGACCCAGGGGCCTGGGTGGCCTCTGAAGAACCTTCTGGAAGGCTCAGAGCATTGCCGTCTGCTGGACCTCAGAGGGGACCACAAAGTGGGCTGGCGGCCCCCGCGGACACAGATCCAGCCCCCAAATTCATCCTCCGGGAGCGTCCCGTCCCTGTGCCTCCCAGAGGCCCACCGAGGACGGTGCCAAGGTCACGCCTAGAGATTCCCAAAAGGACCTGGGCTTGTTTGGGGCACCCACGCCCCATGAGGTCTGTTTTTCTAGCCCAAATTCCTCCCCTCGTCCCTCTCTCCCTCTCGATCCCTCAGCTGTGGCCACACGGGCCTCCTCGCTGTTCTTTCCACGTGCCAGGCCTGGTCCCGCCCCAGGGCCTTTGCACAAGCTGTGCCCTCTGCCTGGAATGCCCTTTCTCCCCAGGCCTGTTTCTCATGACTCAGGTCTGGGCTCCTACGTCCTCAGGGTCTAACTGGACTTGACCTGGAGAGATGGAGAAGTGCCGAGATCTGGGCTGGGCTGGCAGGGTTGGGGGGCCCCGAGTCCTCACCACCAGGTCGGCCTCCAGACCTGCACCAGCTTTATTCTCTCACCTCAGAGCTTCCTCACCACCCAGCTCTCGCACTGTTCCCTGTGCCCCAGCCAGAGCCCCGGATGACAGCCTCAAGTCCTATCCACCTCCTCACCTCCCAAAACCTCCCACCCTGAGTCCGTCTCCTGCCCGGCTAAGCGGCCTGCTCAAGTCTCAATTCCTGGCTCTCCCATTGACATGCTGTGTGACATCAGGTAACTCACTTAACCTCTCTGGGCCCCCATTTTGCAATCTGTAAAATGGGCCCACCGATGGGGAACTTATCTTATGGGACTGGTGGTGGGAGAATTAGATGAGATGATGTGGGATGAGCGCTCAGCATGGGGTCTGACTTCATCCTTCTCCCAGACCAGACCCGCCTCTGGGTCGCAACCCTCCACGCCACGTTGGTTGCCACATGGCAGTCCTGGATTTTGCTAAAACCTCCATCCTCTGGGCTCTCGCGTGGCCCCCCCTACCCCCAAGAGGAAGCCCGTGCCCCTCCTCTGGGGCTGGCAAGCCCCCCAGTGTCGCCCCCTGCCCATCTCAAAAGCCTGAATGTTTTTCAGTGCTCCGGAGGCACCATGACTTCTTGACATCTCGACCTTTGCACATGCTGTTCCCTCTGCCGGGAACAGAATTCTGTCTCCTCAGCTGCACCTTCCCAGGCTGGCTTATTCTTCAGGATTTCTCAGTTGGTCTAATACCGCCAATGGCAGAGAAGAGACACAGGGACATGTGTGACAACAGGGGCAGAGATAGGGTGACATGTCTACGAGTTGCCAGCAGCCCCCCGGAGCCGGGAAAGGGGCACGGAACAGATTCTCCCTCTGATTCCCCAAGAAGGAACCAGCCCTGCCGCCACCTTGAATCAGGAGAGAATAAATCTGTCGTGTTAAGTCGTGTTAAACCCCCTGGTTTGTGGTGCTTTGTTACGGCGCGTGCAGGAAACGCGTACGTGCTGGAATCTTTGTCCCGGGGTCCGGGTTGGGTGCGGCCAGCCAAAGGCACGGGGTCACCACGCTGAGACTCGAGGATGAGTAAGGGTGAAGTTGGCATCAGGGGGCAGAGAACGGCATGCTGGGAACGTGTGCAGCATGTGAAAAGGTCCTGCGGTGAGCAAGAGACAGAGAGAAAGAGAGAGAAAGTGTTGAAAGGTTGGAAAGAGCCAGCCATTCAGAGCAGCTGGAAGGATGGTCTCAGTCGAGGACGGGAGAGACTCGGGGAAGGACAGGCAGTGCGAGGCCGGGACCTTGACGGCCAGTGGCCTCAGGGTTTACAGAGAACGACGGGGGAGCCGCAGAAAAGCTTACAGTAAAGGCAGGACATGGCTGGGTGGTTCCCGTTTCCGCGTTATACATTCTGCGTTGCTGGGATCTTTTGCGACGGGCATGAACTCACTTATTTCTCCCCGAGTTAAAGAGATGCGGGTTTTCAAAAGGGTCCTCTGGTTGGTGGGGGGACGGGGAGGGGGCCCGTGTGCAGGGGGGGTCTGGGCAAGCCCGAGATCTAACACCCCTGGGGAGCAGCCCAGAACCCCTGCCTTATAGGGGTCAGGGGGCGAACACCCCGTCCCTCTCGCCCCTCCAGTGACAGGACTCTGGGGCACATGTCCCACACCGTGTCCTAGAGGCCCGGCGGATGAAGCCCCAGCTGCCCCTGGACGATGCTTCCTTCCCGGGCTGCCTTCCTTTTCCCATCTCCCTTCCCCGACGCCCCTCCCAGCGTCTTCTGAGATCGCTTCCAAAGTAAATAACTTTCATTCAAATTCTCGTCTCGGCGCCCGCTTCTGGGGGGGCCCAAACCAAGATGCCTCCCGAGAACAAAAGAACACCGGGGAAAGCAGAAGGAAGAGCCCCAGGGAGACCCGAGTCCTAAACACATCCGAGCGCCCCAATCCAGCTGAGCCTGAAGGCCACACAGCACCTGTGCCCGTGTTATATGAACTCGTATGTTCCCTTTTTTGCCTAAGAGAGAGCTTCTGTCTTCATAAAACTGACCTCGTGCCCCCTCAGGCTGACCTGGCCTCTCCCGCGTCTCTCTGTCTCTCCTCTCTCTGCATCTCTCTGTCTGGCCATTTCTGTCTCGTCCTGAACCTCCGTCTGCCCTGTCTCGCCCTCCCTCCATCTCTGTCTTTCTGTTCCTCCGTCGGTGTCTCTGCCTCCATCTCTGTTCCTCTGTCTCTCACTTTCTGTCTCATCCTTTCTGTGTCTCTGTCTCCATGTCTCTGTGACTATCTCTGTTGTGTGTCTCTGTCTTGCTCTCTGTCTCTGTCCTCGTCTCTCCATGTGTGTCTTTCTCTGTCTCTCGGTCACTTTGTCCCTGTCCCCTTTTGTCTTTCTCTCTGACTTAAGCGCTCTTCTTATCTCTCATGTTTCTTTCTGCGGGTCCCTCTGTCTGTCTCTCTCGGGCTGTGTCTATCTCTGTACGTCTCTGTCTCTCTCTCCATTTCCACTCCCCAGCCCCACGCCTGGCCCGAGGATATACAGTGGATTTTGTCAGCTTGATGCCACAGACACACCTTCGTGGACCCAGATGAGCCTAAAACGGTGCAAGGCGGGGAGCTGGGCTTCAGGCCCCACGCGGCCCTCGCTTCCCGTCTCAGCATCTCGGCTTCCCCATCCATAAGATGACGATGACGGATGCAGGGTCCACAGACGCTTTCTGAACACGGTCGCCCGGGGACCCTCCCGTCGCCCTTTGAACTTGGGAACTGCTCTCCCTCGTTCCTCCCAGGAGGAAGCCGGCATGCAGACAGGGGACCGTCCCTGACCAAGTTCCACAGCTGAGAAGGGGCTGGACGCCTCCTCCATCCCCAGGCTCCCCAAACCTCCTGCCCCGTCCGTGGCTTTGTCCCAGCCTGGCCACCACCCCGGGCCGGGCGTCAGGCTGCAAATTAACAGGCTTGCTGTCTGAGGTCAGACCGCTTCATTTGTCTTCCCGCCTTTCTCGCTCCAAGGTCCCGATTTTCATGTCGGAATAATTAAACGGGTGGGGACGGGAAATACTGCCGGGGAGAGGGATCTGTCTGCACAGGATGATGAGCTGGGCACTGGACAAAACCCTTGACATTCTGGAGATGGTATTCTGGCCGAGAGGAGGGGAGGCAGCCAATGAACTAATTAACTAAATGAAGAAACCAACCATCAAAGAAAGTAATTCCAGGGTGAGAAGGGCTGTGAGGAAATGAAGCAGGCCTTGTGCTTGAGAGAGGGCGGCACTGGTTGGGGTGCTCACGGAAGGTCTCCTCGAGGTGGGAACATTGGAATGGAAGCTTGAAGTGAGGGAAGACCTTTGCTTCTAGAACATTCTTGGGGTGCCACCAAATCAAACTCCCTGAGCACCTGGGGCTGGTGGATTGGTGTCATTTCCTTTCGTTTATTTGTTCATCAAATACTTGCTAAGGCCCTACTGTGCGCCAGGCCCTGGGCTGGCCACTGGGGACACAGACGTGACCAGGACTGACCCAGTCCCCACCCTCCTGTGGCTCCGTCCAGCGATGGAGGAAAACGTTCGAACAAATGAACAAGAATATTTGAAATGGCGATAAGTTCCAGGAGGGAAGTAACATGATGAGGAGACAAGATCAAGTGGCTGAGAAGCAGGTCAATGGAAGAATGCTAGAATTCTTGGGTGAACGTTTCAGGAGAAATGGGATATTTGCATAGCATCAAAGTAACCCTCCCAAGACACTTACTAATTTGAAAAAGTAAAAAAGTAACTTTCCAGTGGGGAAATCTGGCAGACACCGTCGTAACCACGGGGTCAAGGTTAACATCACTGGTGACGAGACACATCCACCTCGCGTGCCTCCTGACACCCCGCACTGGGGAGGATGTGCCATCGCCCCTGTGGGATTCTGGGCAGAGACGCACGGCCCCACTGTAATCACCGGCCGACATGAGACAGACCCAAATTGAGGGACGATCTACGAAGTCCCTGGCCAGGGGTCTTCACAGGTGTCAAGGTCATGGAGGACGAGGAAGGGCTGAGGAACTTCCCCAGAGTGGAGGATGCTGGGGAGTGTGACGATGAAAGGCAACGAGTGGTCCTGGATGGGATCCCGGAGCAGGAAGAGGACATTCGTGGAAAAACTGATGAAATTCGAATAAGATGTGTAGATTCATCACTGATATCGTACCCACACTATTTTCCCGGTTTGGAGCACCGTGCCAGGTTATGTAAAAGGCTACTGTTAGGGAAAGCTGGGGGAAGGGGATACGGGAACTCCGTACTTCCTGCAACTTGTATTTCTGCAACTTTTCGGTAAGTCTAGAATTATTTCAAAAGAAAATGTTTTTTTAAAAAGCACCAAAGAGCCTTAAGGCACTAAAAAGAAGGTGAAGGAGGAAGACGGGGAGGAAGGAAAGCAAGAGGCCAGGATGGCGGGCACGGGGGCTGGGAGTGAAGGGGTCACCGGCTTGATTACCAAGGGTCTTGTAGGTCACAACAACCTGGAAAGCAAATTTGCCCGTTATTTTATCTCAAAACGAGTTTATTCGGGAATAGCCCAAAGAATCGGAATTCAGGTTGTGCCCCTGTTACGGCAAAGCATACACAATCCGGGAAACACAGCAGGGAGCTGCTTTTATAGAGAAAAGGAGTGGGCGGGGATGTTCTAAAGCAAGTCCATTGGAGGGAAGTAACAGTTCAGGGTGGCAACGGCTTCTCATTGGCTGGGCTGCTGCGTTTCTCATTGGCTAGACTGCAGTATTTCTCACTGGCTGGGATGCAGTGTTTCTCATTGGCTGAGCTGTGGTGCTTCTCATTGGCTGGGCTGCAGCATTTCTCATTGGCTGAGCTGTGGCATTTCTCATTGGCTGGGCTGCAGTGTTTCTCATTGGCTGAGCTGTGGCATTTCTCATTGGCTGGGCTGCAGCGTTTCTGATTGGTTGGGCTGTTGCCAGGTGGGGAGAAAAATCTTCCTTCAGTAGGAAAGTCGTTTTACCTCCTTTGCAAGATGCGAGCTTACGTCTCTTCCTGTTTGGAGTAACTGACTTGTGATGAGGCCTGAGAGCTCCCCCATGGGCTTTCCCGACTCCAATTTATTAAGCTTTCTTTGCTTCACTTCTGCAGGCATGATGGACAGTTTGCATTTTATCGTAATTGCACGCAGAGCCTGGCGCACCTGGGTTCCCTGCCAGCAGCCCCTGAGACAAGGATTTGGGCACAAGTCCTTTATGGGGGAGGATCCCCGGATGCCCCAGGGGAGCAGTGGGGAAGTGGGCGAGGGACGGGATGGCGCCAGACAGGGTGCACTCATGAGCAGGTGACCATGGTGAGCAGATGGGGCTCAGTCCCACGGGGGACCTCGGGGAGACAGCACCCAGCTTGCAATTCAGAGATGCCCCACCCAAGGGAGGAGGGAGCTGGGGTACTTATGCACCAGCCCCTGCCAGTTATCGGTTGGGGGTGCTGGGGGGAGGGTGTGGCATGAATTCTGTGACACTTCCGGCCTGCCATGGGCGAGCGGAGCAGGCTCAGGCAGAGAGTCAGAGCCGGGATGCCAGCCGGCAGCGCAGGGAAACTGCGGGGGCCCTGGGGATCTTTCCAGCTTTTAGAGCTGCACGGACCAATATGGCAGCCGCTGGCTACCTGTGCTTATTTAAATTCATTAAACTGAAATAAAACTCCAAATTCAGCTCCTCGCTCACACCCGCCACGTTTCAATTGCTCCATAGCCACACGTGGGTGACCGAGTTGGGCCGCACAGTTCTAGAACATTCCATCATCACAGAACGTTCTACTGGACTGCCCTGCCCTGGAGAACTTTAAGCAGGAGAATGGCACCATCTCATTGAGGCTCTAGGAGAATCCCTCTGGCTGCTGAGGAATAACAGTCGGTTGGGGGTGAGGGCAGAAGCTGGGAACCCGGGGAGGAGGCAGCCCAAGCATCCAC